CTTACCTGCTGAAATTTCTCTTCCCTCAAATATCATGCTGTGCTTTCAACTTATTAATAAGACAAAAGAGAGTGCCAAAATAATGATGTATTCTTCTCAGGTAACATATTTCATATTAACTAGAATCTAAATTGCCTTAACCCGAACGTAGGGTCTAGTTTAGAAATTTAGGGCCCAGGAAAGGTGAACAATGGGGAAATCAGCTCCTCTGACTGTCCCACAGGAAGGTGTGTATTTTGGGGGTGAGGTGGTGGGCAGGGAGGGGCTACCCTAACCGACTGCCTCACCCGTGGGATCATCCAGTATCCTTTCTTATGAATCATGTACAAGTAGAATCATTCAATGCTTAACTTACATATGCCCCAAAGGTGAGTAACATCAGAAGAGTTAGTCATTAATATACATTTTAGGTTTTTGTCACAAGAGTATGGGTAGCCAAAATTTAGAAGTTAAATCTGACCTTTCCTTTCAGCAAGTAGAAGGAACTCTAGGAGAACTCCTATCACTTACACAGTCCAAGGAATAACATATTAAACCAGGGTTCTGATCTGCTCCTTAAGAGCAACTATGATCTCTTGAACATGAACTTACATATACTAATGTATTCTATGGGTAAAATGTGGCACTTTCTTATCAGCATGAAAACAGCCAAGGGGACGTGAGTAAGGAGCCAGTGTGTCACATACTTAACAGGGAAGGAGAGAGCCATGCAGAAAGCTATGCATTGAGAGTTATGGCACTCTTCCTGCTGTCTCATCTGAGCTTGTCTGTTTATTGTATTTCTGTCTTAAAGATTTCCCATGGATTGTGATAATGCTGGATAGACTGAAAATTCTATTCTACTTGCCCCTTCTCCAAGTATGAAACCAGAAGAAAGCTCTTACAAAGCAGTGCCTCAGTTTTCCCATTAACCATGCACCAATACATGTCCATTCATTCATATATGCTCAGTCACTGCCAGACAAATCCCTTACAAGGAACCGCTCTGTCAGTTCAAAAAAACCACTATGCATTCTCACCTCCTGAAAGAAAGTTTATAAGATTTTATTTTCTGTTGGATTTACATTCAAAGGGCATGGATTTAATATGTTTTTCTAACAATATTCATTTTGCTGAACAGAAATTCATCTGAAATTCCAAACTTAAGAAATGAATAACTCAAGCCGGTACACCCTCGAGCTCCTAGGCTTTGGAGAGCCTCTGCCCCCATCTTATGCCCAGTCTGTGGCCCTGTTTCTAGGCCAGGAGGAGAACTTGGCTCTGTCTTACATGTTACAGTGCTGCCAACTGATTACAGTTGGGTAACAACTGTGTGTTGTTCAACCTTTATGACGTGCTAGTAAAACCCAGTGAGCAGCGTAGTCACTGGTGAAATAAACAGACAACTAGGGACTCAGCACCAGCATAAGCTGCAAATTTTGCCAATAATTGGCGCCCATTGGCCAGTGGGCAGGTGACTATGGCTCCCAGAACAACTGAAGGGAGTTTCCTTTGCAAAGCAGTGTCAGTCTGTGCTCTTCATTTCCTCACGTCCAAGTGTTTGATAGCAGGGGAGACTGCGAGCACAGAGACCAGCAAATTTAAATAATACGAAGAGGGAAAAACTGTCTTGAATGTAACAAGCACTCAGGCAGCTTGAAATCTTCAGCCAAATTGTTGAACTGAGTCTACCTGCTAAAACTTTATGGATTGTTACTTATAAAAATGAAACCAGAGAGAGAGATAAGAAGTTTGCAAATTTTTAGGTACCAGAATTCTTTCAGCATCTTTATTTTAAGTATTATTAGTGTTTTGCGTATTATATTATTTTAAGATTACATATACTTAAATTATAAATCCCTCCTTACAATGTTTATTAAATTCTTACCTTTTTTTCTTTTTGGAGAGGAAGATGTCTATGTTGTATTTTTTTGAATGAAAGCTAATGGGAAAAATCAAGTTCGCTTAAGAGAAATTTGTAGAAAGGAGTCTATGCCTTTAGGAAGGATATTTATACGATCATTATCAAGATCTGTAACCCTTCAGCTACCTGCTTTAGTTTATCTTCTCTCTCCCGCAAAGTTCATAGACTGAAATTCATTTTTCTATAGTTATCTTATATGATAGAAAGATCTGCTTTCATAGAGACCTTTGTTTTAGGAGTGAAGAGGGAAATGAAATGAGGGAAAATAACTTGCACTAAAGCTCCTGAGGCTGCCATGAAACAGGACCACAGTGCAGCCAGACAGGCCAAAGCGGTGCAGGCAACATGGGCTGGGGGTCGGGTGAGTTCGGGTGGGTTGCCTGCTACCAGTGACATGCCCCGTCACACAGCAACAGCATATTTGTTTCTCCTTGTGTTCCCTTCCCTTCCATATTTGCAAGAACAGAAGATCCAGAAAACATGTCTGAAATTTAGTCAGAAACCAAGGCGGGAGATGGCGCGGAGGTGCCCTTCAGTACTGAGAGCCTAGATGCAGACAGATCAAAAGCTAAATCCAATTTAACCCACCAGGCAGAAAAATTAATTGAATTAAACTCCCTCTAAATATGATAAGTTTGGGGATCTTACAGCCAGGCACAAAGAACCAGGTTAGAGTGAGCTGTTGAGTAAATGGCTGGAGGGCGCTCCAGTCGCTCCCGCCCACAGGGAGTTTGATAAGCTGCTGATTGCCTCTATCACTTTACTACTGAGGCTGAAAACGGATTAAGCTGCTTATGGGGCTCCAGGGGCTAATAGTCTGGCCCACCAAGAATACTGCTGCCATTGATTTAAGTAAGCTGCTTGGCAGGTATGGTTTGATTGCAAGGGGGAAAAACAGGGCAGCAGGGACAGGAAAGCTTTAAAAAGCAGGCTTTATTATGCCAAATAGATACGCTCCTTTGACACCCTAAAATGAATATGGAATTACTGATTCCTTCTCTTCATCTGGTATCAAAACTTGTTTTTGAAATGCTTTCTCAAAGAGTACTCACTTTGGAGTCCACCCATTCCATTTTAAACCACCCTTACAAGAATGTGTTGGTGCCTTTAAACATACTTCTCAAATCATACAGTCTGGGTCCTCAGATACTATGATCAGGTAGAGTCCTAGAAAATAGATAAAAGTATAATGGGTATTTTTTTTGTGTGTGTGAGGAAGATCAGCCTTGAGCTAATGTCTGATGCCAATCCTCCTCTTTTTGCTGAGGAAGATTGGCCATGGGCTAACATCTGTGCCCACCTTCCTCCACTTTATATGGGACGCCTCCACAGCATGGCTTGACAAGCGGTGCATTAGTGTGCGCCTGGGATCCGAACCTGTGAACCCCGGGCCACTGCAGCGGAATGCACACACTTAACTGCTACGCCACTGGGCCGGCCCCTATAATGGGTATTTTAATCAATTCTTCCCCTTGAACACCACCAGACAATCAAAATTAAAAATATATCCCTTTCTACCCTGGCCAGCAGGTCACTGCTGCTTGATTACACAGGACAGGGCAGACAGGACTGAGGGAGTGGGGGAGCTGATTTTTGCAAATCGATTACACTTGATACACAAGTGGAAATTAAAATCCTGGTATTCTCTCAGACTTCTCCAACTAAATGCTGTAAAACTATTTCTACCATTTAAAATAGCTTTCCTACCTCTGGGGAGACAAACAGAACACAAAAGTCTTAAGTTAAAACAAACAAACCTTGAGAAGGAATTTACGGTACTGAAAGATGACTGAAGGATCTGAAGACAGTTCCTAGGTTAACCTCATTTCTCCTGGCAAAACAGCCAGGACGAAAACAACAACAGAAGAACAGAATCACAGCAGTCTGAGATGTTCTGACAGTTGTCACAATTATTTTTTTTAATTGACTCTTGAAAGAATCAATAGCTATATGGTGTCTAAAAGCTTCTTAGGGAACGAATTGTTCATTTAGATCATTAACCAAAGCTTAACATATTCAGAACTTTGGGCTGAACAGACAAAATGTCGGTTTTCTTCCTGGCTGCTAACCTGGTCGATCATTAAAAAGACAGGCACTAATAAAAGTTTAAAAAGATGATTTTGACTCTTATATGCTCTGTTGTGTTTTATTAAACTTTAAAGTCATCCAACTGTTTGGCTTGGGTACAAGTCAAAGAGTTTAATATATTCATTGCCTTTTATATCTTTTTTCCTTGTATAATTTTTTATTGAGATATAATTCACATACCATAAAATTCACTCTTTGAAAGTATACAATTTGATGGTTTTTAGTGTATTCACAAAGTTGTGCAACCATCACCACTATCTAATTCAAGCACAGTTTCATCAGCCCACAGGAAACCCCCGTACCATTAGCAGTCACTCCTCCATCCCCTGCTCTCCTCAGGCCATGGCAACCACTCATTGATTTTCTGTCGCTGTGGATTTGCCTATTTTGGACATTTCATTTAAACAGACTCATAAAATATATACATTCTTTTGTGACTGGCTTCCTTCACCTAGCATGTTTTCAAGCCTTATCTATGTTGTAGCGTGTATCAGTACTTATTCCTCTTTACGGCCAAATGATATTCCATCGTGTGGAGATACAACATTTTGTTTATCCATTCATTAGCTGATGAACATTTGGGTTGTTTCCACTTTTTGGCTATTATAAATAATGCTGCTCTGAACATTTGTGTCCAAGTTTTTAGGTGGAAATATGTTTTCATTTCTCTTGGGTACATACCTAGGAGTGGAATTGCTGGGTCATATGGTTAACTCTATGTTTAACTTTTTCAGGGACTGCCAAACTGTTTTCCCAAGTGGCTACGCCACTTCACATTCCCATCAGAGGTATGTGAGGGCTCCAATTTATCTACATCCTTGACAATATTTGTTATTGTCCTGGAATATCTTTTTATACTAAGTTTTTTTCCATTCTGAATAGAAATTGATTATCAGGGCTTGTGAAGAAAACCACCCCAATGATGGCAGAATTCAGTGCCAAGACCAGAGTCAACAAAGACACTTCCCCCAGGAGAAAACAGACTGAAGCGGCCCCTCTGAGCTCTTACCTGCTGCAGATCGGCGAGGGAATATAGGTGGATCTGTTGAAGGAGGTATTCTCTGGGGAAAATTCTGAAAATGATGACAGAAACACAAATGAACTTGGTGCTACCACAGAAAACACTTTTTATAGTAAGTTTCAACATCGCGTTCATCCCGTCTCTCCGCTTTCTACCTGAACTCCTCCTCCCTATACCCTCTGAGAAATCTGTAATAATACCTTGTTTCAGATCTTTTTCTTCCTAAAGCAGATACTAAGATGGAAGTAAGAGTCTGATCTTTGATTCTAATGTGATCTGAGGTGCTATGTGTCCTCTGTGGTGGTCCAGGCCCAAGGGCCAGAGAATTAGGTTCTTGTGGGAGCTGTGTCATCTTAGGCAAGTCACAAAACCCATCTGGCTTCAGCTTCTTCGCTGTTGAATGAGGGTGACTGAACTCGATCTCTCTCTCTCTCCAGCTCTATTATTCTGTCTAAATTAATAGATTTTGGAGTTGAGAAAATCAACTGAAGTGGCAACCTGTGTGTCTTCTGTCTGGAGGCTCCTATGGCCACTGCTAATGGGACAGTGGTGCTCAATATCACATCAAGGAACTATCCTCTTACATGGACAATGATAAGTTTTAGAACCTAGGTACAAATGGGGATAATGGGACGAAATATTTCAAATTGGGACTCCCTGACAAAGTCCAATATTTTTGGCTGCTGTCACTTTCACAGCATCTGAATAAATGACAGTGAGTGAACAGGAAAAAACACTAGATTATGGATAAGCAGACAGGTACCAAAGTGTAGATGGTTAGAAAACACACACACATGCCCACCCCAAAAAACAAAACAAAACTCACAGTGCTAGCATTTTCGCTTTGTCTTACGTGGTACTATGCAATTTTCTTGTGTCCTAAATGAAAGAAACCACCAATTTATTCAACTAACATTTATGACTGTCCACTACATGCCAACCACTGTGCAGGCAACAAGGAAGGCAATTATGAATAAGATAGTCCCAGTATCTCAGTTCAAGGAGCATAAAGTCAAGTGAGGGAAAGATACCTGAACCGTTAATTACAATACAATGTGATAACTGAAAATAAGAGTTATGTATGGGGTACATATTTTTAGAATGGTCTAACATGGTGGATCCCAACACTGGCTCTTTATTAGAATCACTTGGGGAGCTTTTAGAAAACAACAGAGCATAAGCATAACCAGAAACCAGTGTTGAACAAAACAAAAGCTCTCCTAGTGATTAGTGCAGCCAAGGTTTGGAACCACTGGCCTAATATCTAGCTCATTGGAAAACTCATTATTCAGTCTTTCAATTAAGTATGCATTACTTGACAAATCTAGAGACTAAATCATTCATCTTTCTATCCACCCAACAGTGATGAAGCACAACTGAAAGAAGGGCATTGGATGGATTTTACAAAGTCCTTCCCCATGAGGGACAGGGCAGGCATAGTCTAGCTCGGGGCTCGCCTGGGAAGCATGACAGGCACTGAAGAATTCTGCTGAAAGCGCTGTTTCATCCATGAATGAGAACAGACCAAGTGAATGACAAGGCCTTCTTACTCTGGGAACTGGAATACGGTTCCTGAGGCTGGGCTCCCTTCAGCTCTGGTGGTTCAGGCAGCACCTGTGGCAGGAGGTACAGTCCAAGTGCCCTGGGTAGGGGACAGGGAAAGGGCTCAATTCCTCCATGCAAGGTTAAGCTTCCCTGTAGAGAGGCTCCCTGTTGTGCAAGGTAGACCACAGTCCCAGGAGGGACCATGAGACATAACCAACTTCCATTTTCAATTACACACATACTTGACACAGATGATCAAGAGACCTATTCCTCATGGCTCCCAAAGTGTTAACACCAACAACAATAAGAGGAATCCACTTTGAGTTTGGCCCTTGACACAGATCATTTCATTTAATTCTCACAACAGCCCCGCACACTAAGTACAACCTCCATTTTACATAATAAGAAACTGAGGCTCAGAGGCAAAGACTAATTTATCCAGGGTCACAAAACTGGGATTCAAGGCCAGACTTTCTGACTCCAAAGGCCTGTGCTCCTTCCACTTTCTTAGAGGTGGGGGTGGAGGAAGGAGGGAGGTGAGTTTGAGTTGACCATCTAAGTTAGCTCTATAACGCAAGTCTCTTCCAGGTAGATGGTTACTACTGCTAGGCCAGTGGCAATACAGAGCCACTGATGCTTTTTTAAGCAGGAAAGTGACAATGATGTACTTTGTCATGCCCACCTTCTGAAGGCAGGGGGGTGGAGAGATTACAGGCAGGGATAGTCCTGACGAGGTATTTGAGGGTCTATTCTAGGGGATAGTGAAAGAGGTTGGGTGGGTAGATACAAGAGACCTTTGGAAGAATTGCCAACATTTAGAATGAGTGAAAGTGGAGAAAGGAATCAAAAGTGATTCTGAAGCATCTAGCTTAGGTGACTGGATGGTGATGTCCCCGGCCAACACAGGGCAGGCCATAAAAAACTGAAATTTATATGTGCTGAATATAAAGTGCTTGTGTGGAGGACAGCAAGGATGGTCCCTGGGAAGGTGGGACTGAAAGACGTGGACTAGTCAGGGGCACTTCTGATGTCAGCACAGAGGTGACACCTAAAGCTTCGAGAATGGATGGGATGGACCTAGCAGGAAACTGAACAGGAAGGGGGCTGAGCACGGGCAGAGGCTGTTTGTTCTGACTTTGTTAACCTTACACTGTCTAGAGTATCTAAAGCACACTTTGGTAGTCTGCAGTTTTTCTCAACCTTGAAAAATTCTGTTTTGAAAATAATCAGGATGTTCACATGTACTTGAGTTTCTAACATTTCCCCTATTTGTGAAATGTCTGTAGCCTTATAGCCTTCATCCAGCTTCCCCTAATGTTAACATCTTAGACAACCACCGTATGTTGATCAAAACTAAGAAATTAACTATTACTTATAGATTTTATTCAGATTTCACTAATTGTTTCACTAATGTTCCTTTCCTATTTAAGGATCCAATCCAGAATATAACATTGCATTTGCAGATTAAAAAAAATATATATATATTTAAACACTTGCAAAAGACTTGAGACCCAAACATATGTGCAGAAAAGGAAACCTAGGACACAGTCTCTCAGTTGGGCTATGAGGGTAACAATGTACAGTAATCTAATACAGGGACAGAGGATGTTGGAGTGTGGTTGAATGGGAGGAATCATCTTTTTCAAAGGTATTGCTTAATAATGAATCTCCGAAATAAAGTAAAATAAAAGCGATGTGGCAGGAGGGCTGAGAAATAGAGACAGAGTAAACCTAGTAAGCGGGCTGGAAAATCATTTGAAGATGGGCTTCTGCCACTTCTGTTGGTTTGTACAAATGTTGGTCAGCTGGAGGGTTAGCAGGAGGTAACTGAAATGAACCATAGCAGGGACAAAGGCGGGGTAGCGTATTTTAATGTTTTGCTACTTCAAGTTTTTTCTGCTCTAAAATCCTAAAATTTCTTTAACTGAGAGCATACAGGATATAAGAATTATTTATAAATTTACAAGCCAAATCATACTGGTAATTCCCTTACTACAGTACTACAGTCAGTTATCCAGTCAACACTTACTGAGTGCTGAAAAGAAGCAGGTGTTGTGTTAAATGCTGGAGATGGATATGCCAATGTTACAGCCGATGAGCAAAGAGAAGAGCCAGTTTAAAAAAAAATTTATTGAGATATCATTAACATATAACATATTAGTTTCAGGTGTACAAATAGTGATTCAATAATTGTTTCAGGTCTTACATTCAAGTCTTTATTCTGTTTTGAGTTAATTTGTAAGGTGTAAGATAACGGTCCGGTTTTCCCAACATCATTTGCTGAAGAGACTGTCCTTTCCCCGTTGTATACTCTTGGCTCCTCTGTCGTAAATTAATTGACCCTATATGCCTGGGTTTATTTCTGGGCTTTTCCTTACTTGGCTGGGTCTTTCTTGCTTCCAAACACTGCTCATTATTCTCACAATAACCAACTTTGGGCACAGTCATCTCTAATACTCCTTCCACATTATTCGTATGGCTAAAGTTAGCTATGCATTTATTTCGTGTTTCTACTTGTGTAAATATATTCCATGTATGTTTATTTTCTCTCTCCCTTTAGAAGAGATTCTTAGCCCCTCCAGCAACACCTCATCTACTGTCTCCTCTCTATCACTCTTCAGTGTTTAATACTGTAATTTATATGAGGTCAGTCATAACAGACACAAAGAACTGGAAAATGCCACGTATGCAGAAAAGATAAAGGAACTGAGCTTATTGTGTCTGGAGAAGATGTTGTGTCCAGGAGATTTAGTGGTGGCCATAAAAAACAAAGACTTTTAAGACAGATATTGCTAATCAGCTTTTCTTCTCCCTGGAAGATGGAAATTGTAGCATGAAAGCACTGAAGTCAAATATGAGAATAAATTTCCCAAGAGGTATTAAAATGTGTCCCTTAATGTGATGCTTTTTCATGTAAATGAAGGAAGAAAAATTGTTTGCAGGTATTTACAGCAGGGCACGCTCTTCTGTTTGAAGGAGGGAAGGGCTGAAGGCAGGGCTCAATGACTGAGGCCTTCTCCTGCGGTCAGTTTGTTCCTCTCCTCCACTGCCCGTGTCTCCAAGGCAGACTGAATCTGCAAGACATTCTCTGAATACCTTTTCTAAGCAGACCATGCACAGGGGTAGCACAGGGTAGAAAACGACATAAAAGCCAAGCCCATAAAAGCATGGGCCACAGTGACTTCCCATCTGGGGGACACCAAGGGCTCTTCCCTGCTGAGGCTTAGGTCCTACAAGCTGGCCCATCTGACAGTGGCTCTTTAGAAAATGGGGGAACAAGCAGGGACTCCCAGGGACCAGTTCCTTTAAAACTCTGAGTAATAGAAGGAGCAAGTGGAGAACTTGCTCAGGTAGCATTGAGCTGCCTTCGGCAGATGTGACTAGGAGAGGAGAGGGCTCCGCAAGGGATGCAGAGGTGAATTTGCAGTCACTTCAGGGATTGCTGGGGGAACCCTTCACGTCTGGGAGACAAAGCTTGGCATCCCTTTAAGAGAATCATGTCAGGAT